GGATGTCGTTCTCGCATATGATTAATGAAGAATAGTTTATCACAACCATTATAGTTATATAAAAACTCGCACAAATGATTCGTATTATTCATTTAAAGTATCATATGCATGACAAAGGATATAAAGAAGAAACTGAGTAAAGCGATACAAATTACATTTATCAGAAAATATATACGAATTTTTCTATACATAAAATATTGATAACTCTAGTCAGACAGTCGACTTCATTATCCAGCGATTCAGCTGGATACAGGTAACATTTGTATTTTATGATACATATTCCAAAAATTTAGTAATGAGTTACATTTAGCACGAAGATTGCTATACTTCAAATAATATTTCCTCGTTGTGAACATATTTAAGTAAAAGTGAAAAATAATTTGATAATATATTTTTTTTTAAATAATTGAAAACATTAATATGATATCTATGATTAACTTAGATATGTAGTATTGATAGAAGATATTTATTGATTGGAATTTTATTTTATTATATTTTTGTTTTCTTGTAAGAAAATTATATTTTATCATATTTCTAGTACTATTAATAAGATATAAAATTATTAAGATATAAAATTCTGATTTATTTTTTAATATGATATGATATAGTACTTACATGATTATAGCTGATGATAAATCAATTTTATATCCAGTAGAAAAGTTCCTGATTGGCAATGAAATATATAAAACCTAGAAACAAAAAGTTATAATAATAATCAATAAAATATTAATTTTTATTTCTAATTTTTAATCATAATCAAATAATAGAATGAATTTTCTATAACTTAACTCACACTGATAAAGCTTTCCATACAGTGAACTGAATTATTATTATCTACATCGAGACATTAATTCTATGCGTATTCATTATCACCTCTACTACATAATACAGAATCTAAGCATAAAGTTTATACTCATATTAATTTTCTCTAATTTCTATCATTCGTTGATGCATCCGTTATCATATATGTTTATATGTGTGTAGATTAAATTTGTATTAAATATATATATGAAACATACAATTTCTATACGAAAAACTTTATATATTTAATATATCTAAATAGAGAATATTACAAATATTCATATTTTACCATTTAGATTCACAGCATTTACATAGTCAAAGTTCGAGGCATATTTAAATATGCGACCGACATTTTAATTACCTAAAATGTTTAATAATTAAATGTTTAATAATTAATTTTGCATTTCAATAAGTTTTATGCATATTATATGTTTAAAATAAAGTTATGCCATTTTATATTACTTTTTGCGATATCTTTAGTGATAAAAAATACACTAAATTTTTATTCATTAAAAAAATTCACAAAAAATACCTTTAAAATCGGCTCTCAAACACCCTTTTAAAAAATGTTCCTTTCCAATAAATGTGAATTTTTACATGCAATTTATACTTATTATATTATCTTTTTCTAGATAATCATACACCCACAATCGTAACAAAAAAAAATTGAAATTTAAACGGTTATAGTCACCGTTATCGATAAAAGAGTTGAAACCACTTGGATTTCGGATTTTTTCGATATGGAATCGAAAAAGACCGAAAAAGACCAAAATTGTTATCCGGTAAAAGGACCGGAATCGAAACCGAAACTGAAAATTGAATACAACTTCTGACCGAAGTGAAATTTCGGTTCGAGTTCCTGAAGGAGAGCGAACAAAATTGCACGCCAGCTGAGACAGAGTATAATCGATACTTATAGCTACTACTTGCATGAAATCACATGAATTTTATGAATCATCTAAACATAATTCATAGGATAGCATGATCAACAAAGTAATCAAATTTATATTTATTTTTGTTTAACGAGTATTCTTAATATAAATTACATTAGGCAAAAGTGTGACTTCTTTTAATAGTTTATATTTTACACTTTAGTTGTTAAAAGTTATATGTTGTATTATTTTGTTTGTTACACACATCAAAATATATCATTATTAATAAGACAAAACATAAAATGGAATATATTGCATAACATTATTGAGAAAAAAAAATATACTTATTAACCATAGAATCAGTTATATCACTACATTGATTATTCATTATAATTTGAATATTTGTTATCTGGAGCTTTTATGTCATATACATCTACATTTTGTTATGTCGCTACTGTTCTGAGTATATTTAAATACGCAAATGATGTTTTCATAACCTGAAACAATTATAGTTAATAGATCCATCTTAATGATCATTGCGGATTTTTTATGTAATAATTTTTAGATCTTTCTAGGCGCATGTATTAGAATATTAACAAATTATAAGCAATATAAAATTTAATATTAATATCCAATATAAATATCCAATATAATAAACATTAAGACATATAAATAATTAAAAGTTTATATATAAAAGTTACATATAAGAGTGGTAAAATTTAAAAAAAATTTTATGGAAGTTTAAAAAAATAAATCAAATTTTGTTGATAAAAAAATGTTAATATAATATTTAAATAAACTTACATCTCCAAAAGTTGCAATAGATAACTGAACCATTTTACCGGCGGTTATCTTAATAATGGCATTTGATCTTGAAATTATTAGAATTAGGTCGATCGCAATTTTATGATGTAATCGGTACCACTCTGTCATATATGCCATTTCTCCTATTTTTTGACACTATACAAACTTTATTTGATATGTTTTTACGTCATAATTTTATTTTAGACTATTATAATAAAAGAGAAAAAAATTTATATACAAATATGTATACGTATATACGATGCAACTACCTGGTCCGTGAGGATTTCAGCAATATAACAAAATATAAAAATGTTGCATGACATGGCTATGAATATAGTAAAGTACGTAAGCAAATTTTTAGTATCGTGCAATTTCCATTCCTATAAATACATATAATTATCCTATAAATAAATACACACACACACATACACACATACACACACACACACACATACACACACACACACACAAAAGTAAAAAAATGTCTGTAAAATGATTTCACTATTATTTAATTTGTTAAAAAATATAATAAAAAATGTAACATAAGTGAAACGCATACGTGTACAAAGATTTATTTTGCAGTTATTACAACTATTTGATGTGATACCAGCATACCGTAATCGTATAATATCCGAGCATGCATATATCAGTAGTACACCCCAATAATTCAACGAGACATATCTGATGCATAAT